CAAACTGCCAAACTTTTCCAGAGTGGCTGTGTTATTTGCATGCCCACCAGCAGTGTAAGCAAATTCTGGTTGCTCCTTATCCTTACCAGTTCTCGGTATGTTGTCAGTGTATTTTATTTTAGCCATTCTAATAGGCATACAGTGGTATCCAAGCACCACTCTCATGTGCATTCTTCCCTAATGACAAGTGATTTCAGCATCATTTTGGGTTGCTTATTCCTCATCTACATATATCCTCATTGCTGAGGGGTCCAAGTTTTTCAACTATTGTTCAACTGGGTTGTATGTTAACTTATTGTTGACTTTTGAGAGTTCTTAATACATTCTGGAAACAAATCCCTTGTCACATATGTGATTTGTGAGTTTTTTTCTCTCAAACTGTGGCTTGTTTCATTCTCTTAACAGTGTCATTCACAGAGCAAAAGTTTTTAATTTTTGATGAAGTTTGATTTCTCAATTTAAAAAATGGATTATGCTTTTGGTTTTATGTCTGAGAACTCATCGCTGGGGCTGGCACTGTGACATAGTGCCAACGCTGCCATCTGCAATTCTGGCATCACAAATCGGCACTGGTTCAAATCCCAGTTGTTCCACTTCTGATTCAGTTCCCTGCTAATGGTCTGGGAAAGCAGTGGAAGATGGCCCACGTGCTTGGGCTATTGGCTCCTGGCTTCAGCCTGGCCCAGCCCCAGCTATTGCAGCCATAAGGAAGGGTGAACCAGTGGATTGGAGATTTTTCTCTCTGTAACTCTGTCTTTCAAATAAATAAAATAAATCTTAAAAAGAGAGAACTCATTGCTTTATCTCACTTAATGAAGATTTTTGCCCTGTATTTTTTCTAACATTTTCTAGTTTTATTAAAATAGGTTATATTTTAATAGTTTAAGGAAAATGGAGGCAGTAAGTGGGAATATACATTTTTGAATTGGCATTTTTCACTTTTTTAATTAATTAATTAATTTGTTTATTGGCAGGCAGAGTGGACAGTGAGAGAGAGAGACAGAGAGAAAGGTCTTCCTTTGCCGTTGGTTCACCCTCCAATGGCCGCCACACCGCGCTGATCGGATGGCAGGAGCCAGGTACTTCTCCTGGTCTCCCATGGGGTGCAGGGCCCAAGCACTTGGGCCATCCTCCACTGCACTCCCGGGCCATAGCAGAGAGCTGGCCTGGAAGAGGGGCAACCGGGACAGAATCCGGCGCCCCGACTGGGACTAGAACCCGGTGTGCCGGCGCCGCAAGGCGGAGGATTAGCCTAGTGAGCTGCAGCGCCGGCGGCATTTTTCACTTTTAAAAATTTCTCAAGCTATCTGGAGTACCGCATAAAACATATTTATGAAACATACAACAGACCCTAAAAGTCTTGATAACTACAGAATAAAGAATTCCAACAATACACCTTTTTCATTGTGCAATTCTCAATTTTCTCCCCTACAACAGAGGCATGAAATAGATTTAACAAAAAAGTACTGTTCTATGCTGAATGCAATTGAATGGGGACGATCAAATAAACTGATTAGTCTCTCTTAAGAGACAAATGAAGAAAGAGAACAATTTTTTCCAAGGGTCAAGTGCTAGATCAATTTCTATTAGCTTGTGAAATTTATCATTTTAATAAAAAGTAATTGATAATCCTAGGGCAACACTGTAATGTTTCACATTTCCACCAACTGTTTTTGGAACTAGACATCTTTGAGAAAAATTCCTTGAAAAACTTTATAAATGAAGAAATCCTCCCATTAATCTCTCTCAAACAATAGCTGATTTCAAATACAAAGACTAGTACCATGATGAACCTATAACTACATAAACTCTTCAAGGCATATCATAACTCTGTTTCACAAAATATATATGCAATAGCTAAATGAACTCTATGGTGATATATGTTTGTTTTCCCAAAAGTATTATGACCTTTCGTTGATAAAATAGCAAATTGTCCCCTTTAGAGAATCTACAAATCTGTTTTCTGTTACAGCTGTTAGACACTTCAGGGCCAGCTCATCCCATCACATGCTCTGCCTTGAAATGATCTCAGCATCCTGAGATTTCTTGCTAAAAAGCATTTGTCTAATGAAGAAATGGTAAATCCATTTGGAAGCAGAACTCTAAGTTATAAAATGTATTATTCCTGGGTTTATTATTGAAATAAATCAATTATATACATATCTTATATATTACTGTATATCAATTATATAATATATAATAAAAATAAATATGTACATACATTTTATAAATATCCATTTTATAAATGAACCAGGAATTTTATATTGCAATGAATGTGAGTATAAATACTTCCCAAAGAAATGCTAGAGTCTCTAAATAGTACTTAAAGTTAAACTAAGAGGGCCTAAATATTTTTGGGGAATCAGGAAAGTGATAACTAATCCTAAGAAAAAGGGTTTATAAAGCAGATTTTCAAGCAAAATTTGGTTTCACTTTACAAGTACAACTCTAGCCCCTCAGTTAATCAAAATCCCATCAGGCTGAATTTCTGGTGATCTTTTCTTAAAAAAGATGGAGATTTAGGCTGTTAAAACAAAGAAATAAAAAAAAAACAAACAAAAGGAAAGTTTGTGATACAGCAATAAGTCAGCTTTGGGGAAGAAGAAAAAATTATTTTTCTTGGATGTTCCCTATATATTTCCACCTTACTTCTTCATAGAATATTTCCTAGTGTGCTCATGACCTTGGGTCATCCTCTTTGGGGTGAAGGGTACACTACTCAAGGGCCCTAAGGCAGACTTTCTCATATCTGTGTACTTGATCACTCACCTCTGCCTCCTCATCTTCCTATCTACATTTCTATCTCTCTGCTTGTTTACCTATTGAGCCAACCAGCCTCATTCCAAAATTAATGAGAGACAAGTTAGGAAGGCTGTATTATATACACTATCAGTTTAGCTTTTCTAGTTTAGAAAACTTTGAGGTTTAAAACATTTTTTTTTGACAGGCAGAGTGGACAGTGAGAGGGAGAGACAGAGAGAAAGGTCTTCCTTTTCCGTTGGTTCACCCCACAATGGCCGCTGAGGCTGGTGCTGCGGCCAGCGCACCGTGCTGATCCAAAGACAGGAGCCAGGTGCTTCCTCCTGGTCTCCCACGTGGGTGCAGGGCCCAAGCACTTGGGCCATCCTCCACTGCACTCCCGGGCCATAACAGAGAGCTGGCCTGGAAGAGGAGCAACCGGGACAGAATCGGGCACCCCAACTGGGACTAGAACCCAGGGTGCCGGGGCCGCAGAAAACATTTTCTTGATATAGATACAGAAAATGAACAACTTTAAATAATTTTCTGGTCCACTTGCAAGTTTCTTATTTTAAAAGTTATGCCTTATTAATGTATAGATTGCCTTACTCAATGATACGATTCTAGCTGTACATCTAGCAGAAATAAGGCAACCGATTGTGGGCCAGCACTGTGACATAGTAGGTTAAGTCTCTGCCTACAGTGCCCTCATCCCATATGGGCATTGGTTCATGTCCAGGCTGCTCCTCTTCTAATCTAGCTCTCTGATAATGGCCTGGGAAAACAGTGGAAGGTGTCCCAAGTGCTTGGGCCTCTGCACACACATGGGAGATCTAGAAGAAGCTCCTGGCTCCTGGCTTCACTTCAGCTCAGCTCCAGCCATTGCAACCATCTGGGCAGTGAACCAGCGATGGAGGACATCTCTCTCTCTGTCTCTCCCTCTCTCTGTCTGTAACTCTACTTCTCCAATAAATAAATAAATCTTAAAAAAAAAAAGGAATAAAACAATTGAGGATTAGCATAGCACTGAAAAAACATGAACTTAAAAGAAAAGTGTTGTCAGAGGTCAAGATAGCCAGGATCGCCCAGACGTATTACAAGATCAGCCATATTTGCGCACATGTGTTAGCACCATAAGTGAAGAAGAAACTTTTCCTTTACCTCCCTAGTTTCAGTAGCTGAAGACTGCAAATTAAATTAACAAAGACAGGTTATGTGGAAGAAATGTTTATTTGGTATGAAAATACCAGCTTTGCAGAAAAAAAGTGAAAACTCAAAGAAGCAGTTTGGTGTAAAGACCAGGGAGCTCCTACACCACTTTAAGAAAGGATGATAACTGTTGGACAAGTAATTAGACAAAGGAAAATTCTTTTGGGGAAATAATTAGGAATGGTAAATATTTTGGAGAAACTAGTAGATCAGGGTTACTTTAGTGAGGTTTATTTTTGCTCCTCAAGTCAGTGCAAGTTGGCTCTGGTGGTAAAGAGTCTTGTCTTCGAGTAGGGGGAGGAGACACCTTTAGCAAATGGAAATTTATATAGTGAAATTTATGCCCTGTTTTTTGGCAGAAAAGAGAAGAGCAGAGAATTCCTCTTATGTTTGCTCTTTCTTAGTTGCCTTCAGCTCAAAACAATCCTTAAACCAAAGTGGCATATTTTTGAGTGGAATATTCCAGGCTTTTTCAAAACTGCCTCCTGTTGCCTGATAGCTGGCAAGTTTCTCCTCTGGGCCGGCGCTGTGGCATAGCAGATAAAGCCGCCGCCTGCAGTGCCGGCATCCCATATAGGCACCGGTTCCAGTCCTGGCTGCTCCACTTCCAATCCAGCTCTCTGCTACGGACTGGGAAAGCAGTAGAAGATGACTCAAATTCTTGGGCCCCTGCACCCACGGGGGAGACCTGGAAGAAGCTCCTGGCTCCTGGCTTCGGATCAGCACAGCTCCGGCTGCTGCGATCAATTGGGGAGTGAACCAGTGGATGGAAGACCTCTCTCTCTCTGCCTCTGCTTCTCTCTCTGTGTAACTCTGACTTGTAAATAAATAAATCTTAAAAACAAAACAACAACAGCAAAAAAACAAACAAAAAACCCCATGAAACTGTTGTACTTTAAAAAAAGTTTCCCTTCTTCCATGTTGATTCAGAAGACTGTTTCCACATTAAGTCACACTTCCTTATGCATATTGACCGTTTGGAACCGCAATGAGAGTTTAAGGATTAAGTGCGTCAGTGCCATATCAGTTCACAAAGCATCAGTTTTACTTACTTCTGGTGTTTGAGCAGCTGTCCACGTAACTGGCCTCTGAAGAAATACGATCTGCTTTGTAGCCAAATTCCCTTCACTGCAAATTAAAGCAATAGCATTTGTATTTATGAATTAGTAATTCTCTATATTTTGTACTTGAATGTTCTGCATGTAAACTTTGTAAGATAATCTTCTAACCCCAAAGTAATTACCAAACATGAGTCTGTATAAACTATAACCGGAAAAACAAGTTTAGAAAACCTTTCTCCCTCTCTCTAACTCCACCTTTCAAATAAGTAAATACATCTCTTAAAACAACTGAATTGGTCATTACAAAAGAAAACAGTTTTAATGTTTAAAGGCTCTTGTAATCTTGGCATGCTGACACAATTATTTTCATATCTGTTTCCCCTCCTACTCTGTTTCAATTAGTGTATTTTTGCATTTCTGTAACTACTACATATGTATATTTTTATTTCTATGCCTTTCACTGAGCAAACTTTCTCGTTTGTACACTGTAATTATATATTTAACGGCTGCATAGTATCTCAGAGAATTAAGATTCCAAAATATACTGAGCTTTTCCTTTTATTAGAAAACTGTTTCCAGTTTCTTGCTAATTGTAAATAACACTGTTATAAATTATGTGTAATTTTCCTCAAAAATTATTTCCTTGAGATGGATTCTCAGCAGTGTCTCACTTGGGGCGCTTGCACTCCTGTCTAGGCCTCGGTGTTCTGCTTCCCGTCCTGCTTCCTGTTTACATGGGTCCTGGGAGGCAGCAGATGATGGCTCAGATACTTGAGTTCCTGCCACCCACATCAGGCTTCTGGCTTCAGCCTGGCCCATCCCCGGTTGCAGGTATTTAGGGAGTGAATCAGCAGATCTCTCTCTCTCTTGTTCTGCTTTCAAATAAATATTAATAAATAAGCATTTTAAAAAAGAGTATGATTTAAGCTTCTTGGTATGTATTGTAAAATTTGTCTTATAAAAAATGAGATCAATTTGGGTTGCCTTGTGAAAAATTTTGTTGAGGGGCTTCAGCCATAGCTGGTTTTATTTTCAGATGCTTCTTTCTAGTCAGCTATTCAGTATTCTTCAGCTATCATCATGGCAAATTACTCCTGCCAACAACGACTTGTATTCCTCTGAAATGCTTTTCAGAGTCTCCGTGGATTTATGGGAAGGCGTGTCTGTAGCTAATGCTGCTCAGTTGCAACTTTTATTATGCAAAAACTTCCAACAAAACCTTACTATTAATTTTATTTTATGTTGAGCTCTTTTTCTGGAAACAGAAGCAACAAAAATGCTGACCTTAGAAGTTTATGTCAACTGCACACCAGTTGAAAATCCCAAACCTACTAATGCTACTAAATTTTGAGAAATATCAACTCTTTCCTAAAGTGGCAATAGATTATTTTATATTTTTATTTTTGAAAGAACGTTTTAGTCTAACCTCATTTTAGTTTGATCTTGTCTTTGATTAGAATAAGAGACTTTGTATGAAATAAATGGTAACTTTTGGGAACAACCAAAATCATCATGAAATGTCAATAGGCACAGGGAAGGGACTAGCATGCATGCAGAACAGACAGTCAAGTTTCTTGGAGGCTCTGAGTATATTGGATAAAACAATGACTTCTGAACCAGAGAGTTCTTGGATTCAAATCTAAACTTTATGATGGCACCTAATAGTGATGACATTAGTCAAAGTCCTTAAATTCTCTGACTCAGTTTCCTATCAGGGTCCTTTTGATATATTAATGAATCATTGTCCATGAAGAGCTTACCACAGTGCCTGACACTTGAAGAAGCTCCACAAATGTGATTTCATTTCACTTTCTCCACTCATTTAGTGAAATGTAGGGTGGAACTGAGCAGAACGAAAATGTCTCAGAATGAAGAATATCTTGCAGGAAGCAAACTCAAGGGAAAGCATACACGAGGAAAAAGGCTTCTGAGTAAGAGTGAAGGCATGTGATCCAGAGAGACTCAGCTGAAAGAACCACACTTAGAAATGTGCAAACATGAGCAGGACGGGTAAGGATAGAAGTACTCCTCTTGAAAAAGAAAGAAAGGGCACATCAGGTAGGGATGTGGGTGGCCCTCTAGGGTGTTCTTTCCAACAGATTATAGGGTGGGGCAAGTCCGAATGCACTAGGATGTGATAATAAGTCAATGGCAGGCTCTTCAGTCTTTTCTGTCCATCCCAAACACTGAAGTGGCTGTTGACTCCATGGTCATTCCAGATCCATTTCCTTGGGTTCCCAGTGATCCTGATGCACAGTGCATTTAGAAACCATCCACACAAGAGACAGCCTTCCTCCAAGTGTGGAATTCCTGGATTCTGGGAACTATTTGGTGGTATTGGTGTTCCTTTAATGATAAAATTCATCAATGGTTTCTTTTGTTGTGAAATGTTGCAACAAAAAGTATACATTTTCCAGAAGAATCTTTGATGTCTAATTTGTTTTATCAGTTCCTTCTTTTTTTTAAAAGATTTATTTTATTTATTTGAAAGACAGTTACAGAGAGAGGTAGAGACAGAGAGAGAGGTCTTCCATCCACTGGTTCACTCCCAGATGGCCGCAACAGCCAGAGCTGCGCTGATCTGAAGCCAGGAGCCAGGAGCTTCTTCCATGTCTCCCACATGGGTGTAGGGGCCCAAGCACTTGGGCCATCTTCCACTGCTTTCCCAGATTGTAACAGAGAGCTGGATTGGAAGAAGTGCACCTGGGACTAGAACTGGCGTCCATATGGGATGCTGGCACTTCAGGCCAAGGCTTTAACCCACTGTGCCATGGCGCCGGCCCCTCACCATTTCCTTTTAATATGACATTTTTGTATTTAAGTTTTTTTTTTTTTTTTTTTGCACAGTTTGACTAGAAAGGTTACCCAGAGCCAACTGAGGACAAGTTTATTTCACAAGCTTTAATTTCTTAATTTATTCTGATCCTATTTGTCTAAAATAAAAAGGAATTTGCAGTGTGGGTAGGAGTTAATCTCTCTGTGTTGTGCAAGATCCTAGCAACAACCACAAATTATGAGAGTATCTCTCTATCAACAGATCTCAAGGAAATATGGGAACGAGAAGGCAAGAAAAGATGGTCTGTCAAAACCCTAGCTGGCTTTGGTGGGGGTAAATCGGTTAAGGGAATGTTATGGTTTGGATAATAGTTGGGTTACCACCCAAAGCCCATGTGTTAAGGAGTTGATCACCAGAGTGTTAAGTTAATAGGTTAAAGATGGAATTCAAGGGCTGCCATTGTGCTATAGCAGGTAAATATGCCTGCAATGCCAGCATCCTATATGAGTACTGGTTCCTGTCCTGGCTGCTCCACTTCCGATCCAGTTCCCTGCCTGTGGCCTGGGAAAAGCAGTGGGAGATAGTCAAGCTGTTTGGACTGGAAGAGGAGCAACTGGGACTAGAACCCAGCTCCCATATGGGATGCCGGCACCACAGGCAGAGGATTGGTCAAGTGAGCCACGGCTGACCCAGCCTTGGGATTCTTTTAACAATGCACATTCATGTCCCTTCCCCTAAGGTTATGATTAAATCAGAATTTGGGAGAAGGGGGCAATTTTGCTGTTCTGTTTAGATGTTATTTATTTACTTAGAGAGGGCACGGGGAGGGGAGAGGGGTGGGGAAAAAGGGAGGGAGGGAGAGTGCATTCCTTTTCTTCTGTCTCACTCAACATCTGGGGATAAACCAGGCTGAAGCCAGGAGCCAAAACTTGATCTAAGTATCCTATGTGGGAGCGGGGTCACATGTAATTGAGCCATCATCTGCTGCCTCTCAGGGTGCACGTTAGCAGGCAGCTGGAACTGGGGGCAGAATGGGGACTCAGACTCACGCCCTCTGATACAGGCTGCTGGTGGGAGTCTTAACCGCTAGGTAAAACATTCATTCCCCACCTTGCTGTTTTGAGCCAAACAAAGGGAACTTTGGTTCCTTCCACCATTTTATTAAAGTGATTTCTTTAAGGTCACCAATATTAGCTTCTAGCTCAGCTAATTTGGTATCCATCAAATTTGCTTTGAAAAGTTTAAAGTCAATCTCACCATGATTTTCTAAAGAGAAAAATAATTGGGCCCATTAGTATAATTATACAGCGATAATGATAATGAAGGCAATTTAGTGCATTTTCTTTTTCTTTTTTTTTTAAGTTCTTTTTTTTTTATTTACTTATTTGAGAGATAGAGTTATAGACAGAGAGAGGGAGAGACTCCCTAAATGGCTGCAACAGTTGGAGCTGGGCTGCAATGGCTGGATGTAGGCCAATCTTAAGCCAGGAGCCAAGAGCTTCTTCTGGGTCTCCCACATGGGTACAGGGACCCAAGCACTTGGGCCATCTTCTACTGCTTTCCCAGGCCATTAGTAAAAAGCTGGATTAGACGAGGAGCAGCTGGGACATGAACCTGCACCCCTATGGGATGCCAGCACCTCAGGCGGAGGCTTAGCCTGCGGTGCCACAGCATCGGCTCCAGTCTGGTACATTTTCAAGGTTGACAGCAATAACCCTGTAGTATGTGATGATGCCAGATTACAACATCATGACATTTTCATGGGAATGCTGCTTTAAACCTTGGTGGTGTGATATTGTTTAGACAGTGAATCAACAACCTTAACCTAGGGACACACTGGGAAAACAGCTTTATGTAATCTAAACAGGATAACAGGATATATTTGAGTAATGATGGAAATGAGGGGAAAGCATCTTATGTTTAGACCATCCAAGTATGGTTTAGGTATAGAGTAGTAAAAAGTTGACTGCTTCAGATATGATTATTGCACATGAGACAAGCATAATACATATAAATAAATATTTAGGGCAGAAACTTCTCACTGGCAGTGGTTATAAATGGTATTTTCAGACATGTGGGCCCAAAATAAAAATCATGATAGACATTAATCTTTCTGGGTATAAGCACACATCTTTATGACACTGGTATCATTGGTGTTTTCATTGTCTTGTAATCCTAGTGCTGATTTAAATGTAGTGAACTACAGCATTTACATTTTTCTGAAACATCTTGATCTAGGACAGGCCAAGCTATCATGCTTGAACAGTTGATTTCAGCTCATTACAAATTTTGGTTGGGCTAAAGAATTGGGCCCAAAAATAACAGATTCAATTTATTAGCCCAATATGCTCAGGCCCTGTATAGGACCTTTGTATATATTTCTATCATCTCACTTAAACATCATGACAATCCACTAAAGTTGATGTTGTTTCATTTTCCAGATTAGGAAACTGAAACTTACAGAGATCAGGTAACTTTCCCAAAGTCATACTGTTAGTAAATGGGGAAGTTATAATTACAATGATCTGTTGAGCTGGTGTTGTAGCAAAGCAGGTTAGGCTGCTGACTGCAATGCTAGTATCCCAGGTGGAGCACTGGTTTGAGTCTCTGCAGCTCTGCTTCCAGTCCAGCTCTCTGCTAATGCTCTTGAGAAAGCAGTGGAGGATAACCCAGGTACTTGGGTTCCTGCAGCCCATGTGGGGAGACCCAGACGGAACTCCAGGCTCCTGGCCTCAGCCTGGCCAAGATCTCACTGTTGCGACCATTTAAAGAGTACACTTGCACATGGAATATCTCTCTCTCTCTCTGTGTGACTCTGTTTTTCAAATAAATAAATCTGTCTCTCCCTCTCACTGTCTGTAACTCTACCTCTCAAATAAATAAATAAAAATATTTAAAAACAAAAAAGGAAGAGAGAGAGAGAGAGAGAGAGAGAGAAATATATCTTCCATCATGGGTTCACTCTCCAAATATCCACAACTGCCAAGACTGGGCTAGGTCAAATCCAGGAGCCTGGAACTCCATCTGGTTCTCCCATGTGAGTGGCAGGGTCCAAGCACTTGGGCCATCTTCGACTGCTTTCCTGGGCCACAGCAGAGAGCTGGAATGGAAGAGGGGCAGCTGGGACTAGAACTGGGCCCACGTGGGATGTCGGTGCTGCAGGCAGAGGATTAACGTACTGTGCCACGGCACCAGCCTCTCTCTCTCTCTCTCTCTCTCTGATACTCTGTCTTTCCCTAAAGACTTTAAAAATATTAGACCTTCCCCAAAGTATTAAGTTCTGAAACTTTCATATTGCTTTTTTCCCAAAAGAAAAATGCATTTATCATTTCTTCCCATTCACTCAGAACTTCTGGTCCAGAGTCTAAAGGCAGAAGTGAGAGCTCCATGACTGGGCTCCTCTTGCCTGCCGTGTGGACGACCTGAACTGCATTCCCTGATCCCAGCTTCTTCTCAGCCCTGCTCTGACCTTTATGGGCATTTGGAGAGTGAATCAGCAGACGGGAGTGCTCCCATTTTCTCTCTCAAATAAACACTTTTTTTTTTTTTTGACAGTGGACAGTGAGAGAGAGAGACAGAGAGAAAGGTCTTCCTTTTGCCGTTGGTTCACCCTCCAATGGCCGCCGCGGCTGGAGCGCCGCGGCCGGCGCACCGCGCTGATCCAATGGCAAGAGCCAGGTACTTCTCCTGGTCTCCCATGGGGTGCAGGGCCCAAGCACTTGGGCCATCCTCCACTGCACACCCTGGCCACAGCAGAGAGCTGGCCTGGAAGAGGGGCAACCCGGACAGAATCTGGCACCCCGACCGGGACTAGAACCTGGTGTGCTGGCGCCGCAAGGCGGAGGATTAGCCTAGTGAGCCACGGCGCTGGCGTATAAATACGTTTTTAAAAAGAGACTAAATAAGCATTGACTATCCATATAATAGAATATTTAAAGCTGATAAAAAAAAGAGTAAAGCCATATATGTTGTCATAGAATTCTTTTTGTGATCATTTTGAAGGCTTTTTTCTTTAAAAAAAGAAAGCATCTTTCAGAACAATATTAGAGTACAGTCACAAGTTTACATCCCATTTTGACTCTAGCAAAACTCTGAAAGGTTACTTAGCAAATTCAGTTCTAGAAAGTGGTTAGTTCTCAACATTACGGGAGATGGGAAAGTACATATTTCTGCTCTGTCATTATACATATTTTGTTTGATTTTTTACAAAAATATGTATTCATCCCTTAATTTCTTAAATCAAATTTAAAAAACAAAAAGTCAGTTAATAAATAAAAATATGCGTCAGCTGTACATGGTGTACCAGCACTTATAAGGTGGTTAAGGTTATGCCTTATACACTGCATAACCTGGGACTTACATCCTGTTTGGGGCAGGTCAAGCTTATGTGTTGGATAATATTATACAAAAACTAATTGAAGTCATGATGAAATACTTTAGTCTATATAATTTTATGAAAGTATTAAAAAGGAAAGAGACTATAGGCTGTCAAAGTTAAATGGGACTTCTGCACTGACTTTGGGCAAAAAACAGTGGAAAGATCTATTTTAACCATGATCACCGTTATGCAACATGGCACACTACAGCACACAATGCCTGCTCTTCCTTTGTGTGCCAAGGGAATTGTGCAATATTGACATTTGTTTTGGTCCTTGGCATTTGTAACTCAAGTCTTTCCAAGTGCCTGCAATGGAGACAATAAAGAATGAAGGCAAATGTTCATAGTTGTTATCTGGCAATAAGAATTGTTGGTGAAACCTGTTTATCTGCTGCTTTCTTATTCTTGTTCAAATATGCTGTCTCTGTGGCAGTCACCTGTTGGTCATGGCTGTTCCAGTGCACACAAAGATAGTAATCACCATCAATCATGTCTTCCTTAAATATAAAGAAAATATAAACCCAGTGGATCTTGTTTAAGATCGAGCTTACAGCCTGAAATTCTTAGTGTCTGAAACTTGAACTTACAAGCCTATCTTTGGAGCTAAACAGATTTTTAAAAAAGATTTATTTATTTGAAAAACAGAGTCACAGAGACAGAGAGAAAGATATTCCATCTGCAAGTGCACTCCTTAAAGGGTGGCAACAGCGAGATCTTGGCCAGGCTGAGGCCAGGAGCCTGGAATTCCATCTGATCTCCCCACATGGGATGCAGGAACCCAAGTACCTGGGTTATCCTCCACTGCTTTCTCAAGGGCATTAGCAGAGAGCTGGATCTGAAGTGTAGCAGCCAGGACTTGAAGTGCTGTTTCGATATGGGATGCGATGCCAGTGTTGCAGGCAGCTGCTTAACCTGCTGCACTACAATGCTAGCCTCTGGTAAGGTCTAATTGTAATGGGCCAAATGACACCCCAAAGTGGACACCCAAGAGAGCCACCAAAAAGGCGAGGGGGCCAAAAACCTATGTTGTTCCTGGAAAGGGTGTGGGATAGATAATAGCCCAGCAGGTCCACGGGGAGGTGTAGGGAGGTAAGGAAGAGAAGTTCCTTTCTCATTCACTACCACCTGCAAGTTTCTCAAATGTTAGCGTGTCTTAGGAGCTTCTGAACACTCCCAAAGCTTCAGGCTCTGACTCGGGTGGGCCTCTGGCATCTCTGTTTACATGGGTTCAGCAAGTGATTCAACTCTCATGAATTCCTGCTGTACTGTGTTTTGCCAGCTAAGTCACAGATTAGACAAAGTTGGTAAGTAATACTTCAGGGAATTGCCATTCAGTTGGAGAAGTTACTGTAGACTCCTGAGGACAAAAGTAGGTTCATTTCTCTGTCTACTTCTTCTGCTCCTTCTTTCTCCTTTGAGCCTGAGTATTTCACTCCGGACCCCCTCTCCCACTTGATCCCTTTCCTCACTTGGAGAAGGTGCAGCCTCCTTATAAAGCCTTGTCAATCGAGTGCTTTTAAGGTTTGTAGGGACGCTGGGATACTGGACAGGGCTAAGCTGGTGAGTAGGGAGACCAGGAAGGTGTGTTACTCTAAGGAAGGAAGGGTTGCCTCCCTGAGTCATGCCTGCCAATCACTCGGAATGCTGGACAATAGTTAACTCTGCTGAAAGAGGAAACCCATGTGGCACTGTGCTGTCCTCTGAAGGTTGTCACTGGCCCAGGCAGGACAAACTTGGCAGTCACTCATTTTCTGGATGCCAAAGAGATCAGAGGAACACCTCTGGGATGGAGGACAGCAAAGCATTTTACACAGATAGATGACTTCTCGGGAAAGTCAGTGAAAGGAAAGCTGGAATAGGCAAAGGTAGTGCTTGTGAAATATTAGAATTTTGATTCTAATGTGATTATTTTACTGGAAGCCACAGCTAACAAGTCTGTGCTCCATGAGAAAACTAAGGCACCACACTGGAGGGGAGATGTAGAGGCAGAAGTGCTCCCCTTCCCAGCCTGCTCGAGGACCTCACTGAAGTCCTAGGCTCAGCTTGGGGGCTGCAGTGGGGGCAGTTTTGCACATGTAGTGTGGAAACCTGGCAGTTTGTACATCCAAGACACAAGGGGATTGAATTCGGCCATCCTCAAGGCCCATGAAATCAGATTAGAAATTTTTGTGAAATGTTATTTTTTAGGCATTTAATAAGCACTGGCTAAATTGCATTATCTAACAAATGAATTTAGATTTTAGAACCAAATGTAAGTATAAAAGACACTTGTGCAGTACCTGTCATGTCTCAGTATGGGTGTAGGCAACACGCTTGTCAGAAGCCATCCAAATTCAGCCAGTGTGTGCAACAGAGGGCCATAATCCGTTTTGATTTCACAGCCCTGCATAAATAAGCATAGTCTCATAGAGCTCACAGTCTAACGACAAAGACAACCAATGCTACAAGCAATGACAATAAAGGGTGATGGTGCTGTGATAAATGGAGTTCACTCTCTGTTAAAGTACAATTTCATTTGCTGGAGCCTCCCTGGGCCTCCCTGTTGTCTTCTAACCATTGAGTCACATGAAAAAATCACTGGGTGTATAGAGCGGTTTCTATCTGTTTCTGCAAGTTTGGGCCTTCCTTTGGTCTTGTTAGGGCAGTAGTTCAACTTTGATGTACGGAGGGCTAGGAATCTGCATTTTTAAAAAAAGCTTCCTAGGGGATTTGGATCCAAGTAGTTTGCAGGGTAAACTTTCAGAAACACTGGTGTGGGAATTGAGCAGTGAGGATGAGAATGGGGAGTGAGCCCGGGTGGTGACGAAGAGGAATGTGAGTGCAAAGGTCCTTTCACTGCTCTTCATGCTCATTTGGAGTTGCTTCTTATTTTAAGCTTTACTTCTTTCCTCAACTTCTCCCCTCCCCTCCTCAATGGGATGTCTAGTTTCTTGGAAAATGGGCTAGGCCTCTGTGACCTTTTTAAGGCCAGAAAGGCAACAGTGTCCCTGAAAGAGCTGGTGAGGACCTTGGAGACACAGCGAAGGACACCTGACCCAGTGTGTGCACCCCAAAGGCAGGTCATCTGGTGGCATCTGAATTCAGAGTGCACAGCATCAGCAATGTCATCTCTGATCTGGAAGGGAGATATGTGTGTGCATAGGCGGCCTGGCCAGAGACAGAACACTTTTTGGGTAGCTTGGCCTCTGAAAATCAATTCATAAGGCTCTAAGAAAAAGTGGTCACACTGGTTGCCTGGAGATAAAATACTAGTTGAGTGACTTTTTTTTCCCCCCACTTTCACCCAGTTGTCATGGTGTTGTAGAAAGAGAATTTCAGTGCCAGGGGACTTTTGTTTAGGGTTAGCATGTCACATTTTGCAGGAATTTACTGCTGTTTATGTATAAATAACTATTGTGCTATCTTACAAAGAGGTCAGAGGAGATCAGAGTTTAAAAAAGTTAAAACATTGTTAAAAAAGTTTAACATCAAATAAAGCAAATGCTACCTTTTCACAAATCTGTAAGAAGGCTGTTCATGGATTTGTGATGAAATTCCTTCCAGATGTTAACAAATGTGTGTTTAAGGACCATGTAAAACTAAGTATGAAATGTAGATGGTCAGAAATGGCAGCTCACCTCAATGACAGTCCACTGTTCTACCACAATGGCATCATTTCCTTTCCTATTAGAACCTGGCACTCCAGAGCCTTCTTCTTCATAGATAAAAAATCCTTCCAAAGATTTAGACAAATGGTCTCCTGTGAGGAAAAGGACACAACGAAGAAGAGTTGTAATAAGTGACCCCTAAGATCATCTAAATCCTATAGTGATAGAAAGCATAAGGAAAAACTACCAATTCAAAAGCATTTGTTGGGGTCAGCGTTGTAGTGTAGTGGATTATGGCAGCGCCTGTAATACCAGCATCCAATGTGGGATCTGGGTCAAGTCCCAACTGCTCCACTTCTAATCCAGCTCCCTGGTAATGGCCTGGGAAAGAAGTGGAAGATGGCCTAGTGTTTGGGCCCCTGCACCCACGTGGAAGACCTGGATGAAGCTCCTGGCTCCTGGCCCACCTCTGGCCTTTGAGGTCACTTGGGGAGTGAGCTGGTGGATGGAAGACCTCTCTCTCTATATCTAACTCTGCCTTTCACACAAATCAATCAACAATAAAAAAAAATCTGTTTTGATTGAATCAGTAACATTGCTCCTCCTCTTTGAAGGCTTTATTTCTCCCCTAAAGGTTAAGAGTTTTATACTTGACTGAGTTAAAATCAAGCGACAGCTATCAAAACTACAAAAGCAAAAATGAGGTTGAATAATGTGATACTGTGAGAATAAGTGGAAAATCAACCTAAAAAGCATCTGTAGAGATTTTTCACATCAGATTATGGTTTATGATCCATATGTTGCATGCATATTAGTTATACCATTAAGAGAAACAACATCAAGTTATACCATTAAGAGAAACATCAAAAACACTAATCCTAGAAATTAGAGGTATGATATTAAAATTAACACAAAAGCTTCAAAAAATATAAACACAGAACAATTATTTGCCTCAATGATGATGATGCAGAAAAAAAGAAAAACTCAAAAAATAAAAACATAAACAGTGACAGGAAGACCCTAAACAGAAGCATTGTCAAAAGAATTCCTGTGGGGAAGGAAGTTTTAAGGGAGGGCCTCTTTGACTTTTTCTTGAATAATTGATAATAACCAGCTGGCCCAAACCAAACTGATTTTATGGAATTTCTTTTGTCTCCTATTTTGCAATGGGAGACATTTTTCTCATGGTCATGTGCTGGTTAAACATTCTGGTTTCTATGCAGCACAATGTCACATATCAAATTTTCTGTGGTTGAGAGTTCCTTACAAAATAAAGGCCTACAAACATTTCACAGGATCTTTAATGCTTAAAGACAAAAAAGACGAAAGTAATTTCAATATAATTTCTAGCTTGAATTTTTGTTAACAGGCTATAAAGTTTTAGGGAAAATCCTTGTTTTTGACATTCCTTATGGTTACAGCAGAACACCACAAAGAATTTACTTTGTTCAGAGTAGTTCCCAAGAATCCAGTAAAGTTCAATTTACTATTTGAAACTGGCTTTCTACTTATTGTATGTGTTTCCTTTCCTTTAAGTTTACTGATCAACTGTCACAATGAACTGACTAATAGAATCAAACCTATTTCTGATTGTAAGTTTAGTGCATCACTAGATAATTTTTAAAATTGTTTATGCCTCAAGTCCTTTTTAGAATGGGAGTATGAGTTTTTGAAAGTAATTATACACTATGATAAACATGAAGTTAATTAGAACTGCTTTTAAAAAAAATTTATTTATTTATTAATCAGCAGAGTTACAGAGAGGCAGAGGCAGAGGCAGAGAGAGAGAGAGAGAGAGAGAGAGAGAGAGAATCTTTCATCTGCAGGTTCACCCCACAGATGGCTGCAACAGCCGGAGCTGTGCCAATCTGAAGCCAGGAGCCAGAAGCTTCCCCCGGGTCTCCCACGTGGATGCAGGGGCCCAAGGACTTGGGTTATCTTCCACTGCTTTCCCAAGCCATAGCAGAGAGCTTGACTGGAAGTGGAGCAGCCGGGACTTGAACCAGTGCCCATATGGGATTCCGACACTGCAGGCGGCGGCTTTATCTGCTATGCCACAGAGCCAGCCTTGACTGCTTTTAACTTATTTTGGGATTATATAATGTGAAAACTTTAATAATGTGAAAACTTTGGGGCTCTGTGTCTGTGTTCTTGCTTTTAATATTGAGATATACAGGCCGGCGCCGCGGCTCACTAGGCTAATCCTCCGCCTTGCGGCGCCGGCACACCGGGTTCTAGTCCTGGTCGGGGTGCTGGATTCTGTCCCTGTTGCCCCTTTTCCAGGCCAGCTCTCTGCTATGGCCCGGGAGTGCAGTGGAGGATGGCCCAAGTCCTTGGGCCCTGCACCCCATGGGAGACCAGGAGAAGTACCTAGCTCCTGCCAGCGGATCAGTGTGGTGCGCCGGCTGCGGCGGCCAATTGGAGGGTGAACCAACAGCAAAGGAAGACCTTTCTCTCTCTCTCTCTCTCACTGTCCACTCAGCCTACCAAAAAAAAATAATAATAATAAATAAAATTGAGATATACTAGTACTTCTGAACTTTCTGGTCTAAAAGAATGAAAGTGGTAGACTCATAATACAGTATTATTTAGGAATAAAAAAGAAAGACTCAGTGCTATGCATTAACAGATGGATTTCAGAGATACTATGTTGAATGAAAGAAGTCATTGACAAAATAGTATGTTCTGTTTAACTCGGCCTGTGTGATTCCTTAGCACCCCTCTGTGGTGATGGAACCCAGGAGGGAGGTTATTTCTAGGTGGGAGGATATGGACGGGGAAGGGTCATGAGGGGGCCTTCTGGGATGCTGGAAATGATCTCCATCTTGAACATTTGTGTTCTTTCAACTGTCCATATGAGGTGGGTGGGACTTCAAAAGTTATGGAAAATGGAATTATAAGATAATGTGAATTTTCCATGAACATTTTGAAGCCCTTATATAGGATTTTAGTGCACTTTACTGTATATCAAATTATATTTAAGATGCAAAAACAAAGTCTTTCCTTCTTACTTTGGAGTTCTAGGGGCCCCTTAGGTCGCTTTTCCAGATCCCATACCAGGTCCCAGAGCCATGGAAGTCTGATACTTGCTCAAGAGGGAGTTCTTATACTTCTCCCCCGCAGAAGTGGCAGCTAGGGAGGGTGGCAGGGGAGCCTCATGGGGAAGTGACTATCTGCTTGCTCAGTGTGTTAAATATTCCAGGTAATGGAATGAGGTGGCCATTCTGAAAGACTACATAATAACTGTCCCCCACTGAATCACCTCTTAATGTTACATAACTCAGAGCTTCCCAACCAGTGGGATTTAGCTCACTGGTGTGCCAAGATAGAGAGCGCCCCCTCCTGCTCAGAGCAGCTTTATCCACTTTTCACCCATGTGCCCAGAATGGTACTATTTTCCGTGTGTATGTGGTATGTAAAAGATACAAGCCTCGGGGCCGGTATTGTAGGGTAGTGGGTAAAGCTGCCCTCTGCGGCACTGTCATCCCATATGGGAACCTATTTGAATCCCAGCTGCTCCTCTTCTGACCCAGCTCCCTGCTAATGTGCCTGGGAAAGCAGCAGAGGTTGCTTGGGCCCCTGCACCCATGTGGGAGACCCAGAAAAAGCTCCTGGCTTCTAGCTTGGGACCGGCCCAGTTCTGGCATGACAGCCATTTTAGGGAGTGAACCAGCAGATAGAAGATCTGTCTTTCCCTCTCTCTGTATCTATGACTTTCAAATAAATACATAAGTCTTTTTTTTTTTAAAGATACAGGCCTGATCTACTGCTTCTCAAAAAAAAATTTTTAAGCTAAATAATATCAATAGCAAAGTGCTCTTGTATCCTTGAAAGATAGTCTCCTGTTAGAGTTTGCAGTGAATCATGGTGAACTTAATGTCCTGTCATAAAAGTTCATACAAACTTTCCTCTCTTTTCAAATATATTAATTTTATGTAAAAAAGTAGTGCTGTCTTCTACCCACCCTCTCAGTCTTTAAGTAATATTGACACTCTAGGATGAGGTTTATCTTGAGAGCTTGTGAACCTGTGTACTTCCTGGCACAATGCTGAATACTCCAAGGATACTTGAACCCTGGTTTGAAAAACATAAACTTGAAGGATTTTCAGGAAATGGGTTACTTGCCAAGACATAAAGACTTTCCATTCATTTTAGCTTCATATGACATTGACAATCCTATAAATGTGTTTTTATTTAGTATTTTTGGTCCATGTATTATTTTGCATTGAATTGCCCAAAGGTGGGCCAGGACCACCTCTGAAGTGGATGCAGGCACATGCAGTTAACACTCATTCCATGCTACTGTCACGTACAGTCTGTCTGCCAAAGGAATCTCTCAGCCTAATGCTTCTTGTGGCCTATACCACTGTCTCTCTAGAGACTCTGGCAACAGCCTCTTGACAACCTCCCCATTTTCACTCTGGCCAAAAAGCTATTTTTAAAGATGCAAATCAGATCAGGAGTTGCTCTTTATATTTTCAATGGATGAATGGGAATTGGCATCCTGACAAGATGGTTAAGAGCAAACACTCCATCTACATGGCCCCACCAACTTCCAGTTGTATGAATATGGGCACATTATTTATATCTGTGTGCCTCTGTGTCCTCAGGTGTAAAAGGCAAATAATCATACCTACCTAAGAGGGTTGCAATGGGGGACTAAGCGAGTTAACATCAGGGTACTAGAACAATGCTGGCATGTGGTAAGTGTAAAATGCACCACTGGCTCTTGTTGCATGGTTGACAGCACCAGACTCTTCATGGAATTGTTGCTGCTTGCCTCTTCCACTTTGTCTACAGCCATTCTTTCTTGCCCACCTGGCTCCAGTGACACAGACCTTTTCCCAGTTCTTTTCTGACCTAGGGTCTTTATACAATTATGGGTGTTTCTTCTGCCTAGAATTTTCTACCTCTGGCTCTCGCATGCCTGCTCCTTTATAGCTTCCTAGACTGAGTGATTGTTACCTTCCTGGATGAGACTTCCTGATTGCCCCTTTAAGTGGGTTCTTTCCTGGTAGTCTTACCTCAATATCCTGTTGGGTAATGTCACAGCACTTCTTTTAGTTTTGAAACTAGATGTATGTGTTTTGACATCTTTCCTGCCTGAGCGCCTCATGTTGCATGGCTGGCTCTTTGAGAGTAGGAAGCAGGCCCATTACTCATTGTAGACCCAGTGCCTGGCACAGGGCCTGGCGTGTCCATAGAAGGAGACCTCCAAAAGTCGTGGGAAAATGAAATGAAGATGTCCATGTCGGTGCAAACAATTTTGAAAGCCATGCATAGTTTTTTTTCATACTGCATTTCCATGCATTTTGTGAACCTTTTGAAGAGCCTCCTCACATACATGAAATGAATAAGTATACATTTTAATGTTATAACTGTACCCCATTCCTCATTGTGATACTTCTCCACCAATCCCACACAAGCATTTTTATAAGAGGGAAGAAATCGAAATGAGTATCAAGTGTAGTTTGAAAAGAATTCATAAAACTCCACATGTGGCATAAACTGTGGTCTTCTAGGGTGGGGTATGGGCATTGGAGGCTAGCAGAGTGTGGGAACCTCAACGGTGAGAGAGAGGGAGAGGGGGAGAGAGAGAGACAGAGAGAGACCCAGGGGGCTTTTCAAAGGGCTTTTCAAAGCAGGGAAGGCTGAGAGTGGATGTGAAAGGACACTGACAAGGAATTTCATAGATTTTATACCATGACACTGCCAAAGTAGAAAAATTTGAAAACATTTTTTCCTCTTTCTATTTCTAGAGGAAGGCACTTCATCATTATTATTTGTGGGGTGATATATTAAATTTCTGAGCAATATCTGGCTTTGCACTTGCATTCCTCATGGTGGGCTGACTTCTGACAATGTTTTGAAGAGGATAGAAGCAAGACAGAACAGAATATGCATTGTCTCTCCATGCGCTTTAGATGTCAGGCATCAAACATCCCAGAACAAAGTGGCCAATTCAGCCAGCTTCCTCTGACTTGTTCTCACAGTGACACAGACATTGCTCACAATTTCCCCTTTGCAGCTTCCCTGTGTACTCCCAGGAAAGGCCCAAATGACACACCCCATTGCCAGACCCCACAGACTGAGGTGGCTTGTTAGGGGCTTGGGACAGCCCACACTGTAAAACGTCTAATGAGACATTTCAGGGCTTCTGAGGCGGGAGAGTCTCCCTGGGGTTTTCTAAATAGTTCTAAGGCTTGAAGAACAAAAGGCCCACAGAGTTTCTGGCTGGCAAGTGCTGGGGCTAATTTTATTTTCATCAGGCCAGGCCCAAGGCAGGGATGCCTGAGAGAGATTGTGAGAAGAGTGTTTTTTTCCCTTAGGCAGTTGGTCACAAACCAAAATTTGAAATGGCTCCAAGTTAGTTTCTGGATATAAGACTCATTGCTACAAATGATTGCATATTTCATTGTAACTAAATGAGAAAGGCTGGAGGGAGATGGAAAACAAAAGAAGATGGAAATAAGAAGAGAGCCAGCATTGCTTTCTGAGACAAAGACTATTTTCCTATATGATTTATGGAGAGTCAGGTAGTGTCCAAAAGTGGGATAATGTCACAGACATGGATGTTAAGTCTCAAATACCACCATGAGCCTCCTAGTCGTGCTGACATAGTACATTTTATTTGGAAACCTCCACTAGTTGATCACTCAGTGGTTTGTCTATTCCTTACAGTTACAATCCAACAGTAAATGTTATGTTATAATTCTACCATGCACATTGGATGTCCAAATGAGTATCCGTTTGCTCTCCACTATGGTTGTATTCTGAAATCAGTGTTACATAGTGGTGTGGAGACTGAAATCTATTTCCTTAGAAATAACATCAGTCTTTTCAGTCACAGAGTTTGAGAGGTAAAAACATTCTCATCAACATCAACATAAGTTCAAACTCTTCAGATAAAAAAATCATTAATACTAAATTTACCTTTAGATGTTTCCCAGGATACAAAAGAATCAATTAAAGACAAGCCTTGCTTATAATAAAATGTAGTTAATTCCAGCCAATCAGCATCAAGTGTACTGATGACAGCTCCTTTTCTTGTTACTTTCATTGAAAGGATGCCTTCCTGATAGGTCCAGCAGGTTGAATCATCATCAAAAGCATTGAAGGCTATATACAACTTGTTATCTGAAGACAGGAATTCAGAAAGAGGAAAAATTATAATTTTACTGATCAAAAATTCTTAAAATTTAAAAATAATAAAGAGATATTTCAAGCAGAGAAATGAGTATAGAGAATTATAAAAGTATTCACCACTTAGTTCAACCAAATGTTAACATTACACTATATTTAAGTCAGACTATTTTTTTCAAAGAAATGAGAAATAAATACAATGGTGACTCCTATAAAGCACTTCATAATTCCATTTTCCAGAAATAACTACCATAATGAATTTGGAATTTATTATTCTCTTGCACACTTTCATTCTTTTAATAAACATTTATATATCGATGAATGATGTGTAATGTTTTATGATTTAAAAAGCTTTATTTGGAGTAGGTGGCTGGTTTACTGGTTGAGATACCAGTTAAGATGCCTGTGTCCCCTAAGTTCCTGGGTTAGATGCCTGGCTCTAGCTCCTGACTCCTGCTTCCTGGGGGTACAGACCCTGGGAGGCAGTGGTGATAGTTCAAGTGGTTGAGTAGTTGCCACCCATCTGGAAGACCTGGACTGAATTCCCACTTCCCTGTTTCAGTGGCTCATAGCTGTTGTGGGTGGTTGAGCAGTGAACCAGCAGACAGGAACTCTCTTTCTGTCTCTCTCTCTATCTCTTTGCTTCACAAATAAATTAAGAAAAAATTTAAACTTTATTTACATGACATCATATTATATATACCAATCTACAAATTGAGTTTTTGGTTCAACAATATGTTTTGAAATGCAAATAATATTGTAGGTCTTATTCACTTATTATTTTTTTAAAGATTTATTTCTTTACTTCCATCTGCTGCAACAGCCAAGGCTCAGCAGGTTGAAGCCAGGAGCCAGGAATTCCATCTGGGCCTCCCATGTGGGGGGCAGGGGACCAGGAACTTGAGCCATCTTCTGCTGTCTTCCCAGGTGCATTAGCAGGAAGCTGGGTCAGAAGCAAAGCAGCAGCAGAGCAGCTGGGACTCAAACTGGCACTTCAATATGTGATGCTGGCAAAGCAGGCAACAGCTCACCCAGCTGGGTCACAAAGCTGGCCCTTAACTGCTGCATAGTATTCTAGTTTACTACTCTCTTTTTGAGGGATGTATAAATTATTTCCAGTATTTTGTTACTACAAACATTTTCATGCATCCTTGGACACATATGTGAGACTGACTCTAGAATGTGTATTCGGACATAGAAATACTGGAAATTAGCAAATTCTTAACTTGAAGTCTATGGACCAATACTTGTGGTTGTATTTTAGGAAGTTTAACATAACTTATATTACAACCAAAAGTATTTGAATTCCATGGGTTTTGCCAGATAATTAAGAGCTATTACCCTAGAAGATTATACTAATTAGTACATAACTTTAAGATATTTAGAAATCAGAATCTAAATATTGATAATTTAATAAAGTAGTATGTTGGATCTGGAACTGAAAAGACCAGAAGCAGACACCTGATTTGATCAAACTTAGGGTGGGAATCAGCATGGGGTTTAAAAGTAGCCCTGGGTGAAAGCTGTTGAGTAGCTCCCCAACCATAGCTCCACCAATTCTTGTTCACTTTTACATCCCTATAATTTGTATACTGCATAAAACTCAGCATGGTTGTAAGGTAGGGAAGTGGTGAGGAAAGCAGAGGATGGTGGTGGTGTGGTAGGCATAGGTGAGATAATGAGTTAGGAAACACTTCCAGCTCTTTCCCAGACGGTGCTTACATGGTCAAATGGCTCTCCGCCATGCACAGTATGTTCAACACACATCATCATAACTGCCAAAGCCTATGCCACCAGTGTGTGCTCCTCCAGTGCCAGCACTGAGCACCGGATCAGTTACTAGAAGGTAACTTAATACAGCGTTGGCTCTGTGCCAGGCCCCGGGCTGAACAATTTGTAGACCTCTCTTGTTTACTTCTCTCAGCAACCCCTCGAAGGAGGTCCCACTGCACCCTTTTTATAAAGAAACGGAGGCATCTGACGCCAGAACTCACACTGCATACTTGGAGGTATATGAAGGCTTTGATTTTCTTCGACAGTGCTTTTGAAAAGCATGCCCTTAAAGGCCTCAGAAAACCTGAGCCGTCGAAGATACATGAAGAAGATTCTCTCAATTTCTGGGGAAGACTTGGTAGTTGGCAAAGAAGAATAAAACTATTGTTTAAAGTTATTTTGGGCTCTAGGCACTATTGTTCTAATAATTGTTTCATCATGATGTGCCATTTTCATATTCTAGCTGATTATCAAAGAAAGCCATCTAATTTCAGAGGTGAAAGCCATTCATTAAATGGGAAAGGCCAAAAACTACAATTCTCATACACAGTTTACAAGAACAAAATAAATAAGAACAGCTTTCTTTATAGACGCACTTCTTTACTACCTGTGTATGGCCTCCAGAGGTTTATAAGAAAGTTTTAGATGACTAAATGGAAACCAATGTTCCACACAGAGTTTCATTATGTCGATGGCGCTGTGTGGCTTGCCAGAGACAACTGTCTGAAAAAACCCTCTGCCTTATTTCTGGCTGTAATGATTTTAAATTTTATATTAGTTCACTTGGACTTTTTTAATCTTTCAAAATTTTCATTTTTACCTCCTATTTCTAAAAATACTTCAAAAACTTATTTGATAAATTTAAACTAGTAACATGAGGGTACTTTAGAAAGTGTGTTGAAGGCCAGTGCTGTGCCTCACTAGGCTAATCCTCCGCCTTGCGGTGCCGGCACACCAGGTTCTAGTCCCGGTCAGGGCGCCGGATTCTGTCCTGGTTGCCCCTCTTCCAGTCCAGCCCTCTGCTGTGGCCAGGGAGTGCAGTGGAGGATGGCCCAAGTGCTTGGGCCCTGCACCCCATGGGAGACCAGGAGAAGCACCTGGCTCCTGCCTTCGGATCAGTGCGGTGCGCCGGCCGCATTGCGCCGGCAGCAGTGGCTATTTGAGGGTGAACCAACGGCAAAAGGAAGACCTTTCTGTCTCTCTCTCACTGTCCACTCTGCCTGTCAAAAAAAAAAAAAAAAGTGTGTTGAAAAGTGGAATTAAAAGATAAGTTTATTTTTGATACCAAAAAAAATTTGAAACCCATCCAGTTTTCTCATAATAGACATTGTCTTGAAGTTTTTGAAGACTCCTTGCATAGTCTCTTTCTACTCATCATATCTGTTACCTTCTTTTCTTGATTTAGAGGAAGTGGGGCTGCCATTTTGTTCCGTTTGATCCTGTTTGCTTTCGTGATGAAGTTCTTCTTCAATTCCACTTTCAGACGATTGCCCACTTAAGGTTCCTTCATTCCAGCTTTTACAGTTTTCTTCTGAACTGTGTCTCACATGTAGCATTGATTCTAGATCTCCGTCATGGCTGGTTCCATTGCAGAATTTAGATGGATAATGTTGTGGTATGAACCCAACAAATTTCATTCCTTTTTTAGCAGCGACATTAATCTGAAGTTTAAGAAGAGATGGCAGGACAAAATGTAAATTCTATTTGCATTAATCACTTTATTAATTAACCTCTAGGTTACCCGAGGAAATCTATTACAATATAGAGGAAACCAACTACTAACTAAAGACCCATTCATAAACTAATGACCCCAAAACAACACTGCTCATATGATTATGTCACACTAGCATTGTGACTTCTTCAAATATAACTAATACATTTTAGAAGTTATGAAATCAGGAATGAATTATATTCTTCTCTGAATTCTATTTGGGAAGAATTAATAACTCTATCACATGACTTTTGTATACCATATAACAATGGCCTCCAGTAGAAGCAGAATTTAAAGCTGATCTATGAAATCCCCAGTAACATTACCTGATACATTATCATTAATAAGGAACAGGCATTAATTCATTAATTAAAAAACAAAAAACAGAGCATTGTTTGATGTTAATAAAGAAAACTGCAAAATCTTGATGAAGGAGTAGGTATAAAGTACAAGCTCAGTTCATACTGCAACTCTTAGGAAGCTTTCTGATGCTATTGCCCCCTCTCTGGGCCAAATATGCATGGTTAGATTTCACCTTATCAATTAAAGAATAGGATTCTGTAGCATATGATGAAATGCTAGTGAAATAATTGGTGATTTTAAGAGTGGTTATTTTGGGGGCTGGTGTTTGGCCTAGCAGTTAAGATGCCTGCATTCGGGGCCAGCGCTGTGGACTAGTGAGCGGATAAAGCTACCACCTGCAGTGCTGGCATCCCACATGAGTGCAGGTTCGAATCCCAACAACTCCACTTCTGATCCAACTCTCTGTTATGGCCTGGGAAAGCAGCTGGCCCAAGTCCTAGGGCCCCCGCACCTGTGTGGGAGACCCCAAAGAATTTCCTGGCTCCTGGCTTCCGATTGGCCCAGCTCTATCCATTGTGACCATTTGGGGAGTGAACCAGTGAATGGAAGACCTCTCTCTCTCTCTCTCTCTCTCAGCCTCTGCCTCTCTGTATAAACAAACAAACAAACAAATCCTTAATAAATAAATAAATAAATAAATCTTTAAAAAAAAAAGATGCCTGCATTCCACACTGGAGTGCCTGAGACTGATGCCTGGCTCTGGTTTCTGACTCCAGCTTCCTGCTATTAGGAACTCCGGCAAGTAGTGGTGATGGCTAGGTGGTTGGATCCTGCACTCCATGTGGGAGACTTGGATTGAGTTTCTGGCTTCTGGCTTCAGCTTGCCCAGCCTTGGCTGATGGAGGTATTTGGGGATTGAATCACCAAATGGGAGCTCTTTGTCTGTCCATCTTGCAAATAAATCAATTTGAAAATTACAAAAAAAAAAAAAAAAAAAAAAAAAAAAAAAAAAAGAGTGGTTATTTTCCTCTCTGCTTTTGCTTCACTTCTGTTTTATTTTTGTCTTTTCCTTCCTTCCTTCCTTCCTTCCTTCCTTCCTTCCTTCCTTCCTTCCTTCCTTCCTTCCTTCCTTCCTTCCTTCCTTCCTTCTCCATTCTTTTCTTCTCTCTCTTTTTAAAGATTTATTGATTTAATTGAAAGGAGAAGAGAGAGAGATGTTTTTTGCCTCTGCTGGTTCCCTCCCAAAATGGATGATAGCCAGGGCTGCATTAGGCTGAAGCCAGGATCCAAGATCTCCATCTGTGTCTTCTATGTGTATGGTAGGAACTCAAGCACTTCGTCATCTTCTGCTGCTTCTCAGGCGCATTAGCAGGGAGCTGGATTAGAAGCAGAGCAGCTGGGATTCAAGCTGGCACTCTGAAATGGGATGTGGGCATCTTAAAAGTGGTGACTTAGGCCAGCGCCGCGGCTCACTAGGTTAATCCCCCACCTTGCAGCGCTGGCACACCGGGTTCTAGTCCCAGTCGGGGCGCCGGATTCTGTCCTGGTTGCCCCTCTTCCAGGTCAGCTCTCTGCTGTGGCCAGGGAGTGCAGTGGAGGATGGCCCAAGTCCTTGGGCCCTGCACCCCATGGGAGACCAGGATAAGTGCCTGGCTCCTGCCATCAGATCAGTGCGGTGTGCCGGCTGCAGCGCGCCGGCCGTGGTGGCCATTGGAGGGTGAACCAACGGCAAAAGGAAGACCTTTCTCTCTGTCTCTCTCTGTCCACTCTGCTTGTCAAAAAAAAAAAAAAAAAAAAAAAAAAAAAAAAGTGGTGACTTAATCCACTGCACCACAGAGTCTTCCCCCATGTCTTTCTCTTGTTCAACTGGCAATTCCTTCAAGAGCAAGGACTACATAGTGCTTTGGAGATGTAGGTCCTTGATAGTAGTTCTTAAACAAATTAAAAGGAAGAAATAGCAATAATTTTTACATGGCAGTGGTTTTAAACATTTAAATTAAATGTTCTAAATGTCACCTGGGGGTGTGGGGCGGGGGGAAGAGTTTGATGGAGGTACAAATCAAACACCTACAGACAGAATGAAATACAATGAAAAATGCCAGAAAGAACTGGAGAAAAATCAGAGTGCAATGTCTAATCATAGGAGGCAGCTATAACTCAGTTCCAGACAATGAGGTGGGAGAATCTTGGGAAGGGGAGAAGGTGAGGGTGTGAAGAGTTAGGACAAAGGACTATGGCTGGGGCAATAGCATCTACCCCCGTAGATCAACATATTTAGTCCACAACAATGCAGGAAGTCTTACAGGCCCCCAACCCCAAATTTTCTTTTATATTTGGTGTCCTGGGAGAGTGGGGCAGGGGAGGGAGGAGCTAAGGAGGTATTCTGCAGGTGGAAATGGATGAATTTATTGTCAGTGCTTCCTCTAAGTCTTATTAATTGGGTTGAGTGAAAAAATGTAATGGGTTTTTCTATTACTAGAAAATTTTACCTAGAAAATCTGATAAAAACATGGTATTAATATCTTTTCCATCTTTTAAGTTGGAGGGTTGATACTCATAAAATGTTATTTGTATTTTTGAATCCTAAGAAAACTCTTGTAAACCTAATTTTAAAACAGATCAGGGCTGGTGCTGTGGTGTAGCAGGTAAAGCCACCGTCTGCAGTGTCTGTGTCCCATATGGGCAGTGGTTCGAGTCCCGGTTCCTCGAATTCCTATCCAGTTCTCTGCTATGGCCTGGGAAAGCAGCAGAAGATGGCCCAAGTGCTTGGGTCCCTGCACCCGCGTGGAAGACCAGGAAGAAGCTCCCGGCTCCTGGCTTCAGATTGGTGCAGCTCCGGACATTGTGGCCAACTGGGGAGTGAACCAGTGGATGGAAGCCCTCTCTCTCTCTCTCTGCCTCTCCTCTCTCCGTGTAACTCTTTCAAATGAAATAAACAAATCTTAAAAAAAACAGTAAATTTTTGTGTAATGTTAAAGTTTGGCTTAAAAATCTAGTCATTCAAGGATCAGCGTTATAGCATAGTAGGTAAAATTGCCGCCTATAACACCAGCATCCCCTACGTGCACCAATTCATGTCCTATCCAGGTCCCTCTAATGGCCTGGGAAAGCAGCAGAAGATGGACCAAATGCTTGGGTCCCTGAAACCACACAGGAGACCTGGATGAAGCTCCTGGCCCATCCCTGACAGTTGTGGTCATTTGGGGAGTGAACCAGTGATGAAAGACCTCTCTCTCCATCTCTTCTTCTCTCCCTGTCTCCCCCAACCCCTGTAACTCTGCCTTTCAAATAAAATAAAATAAATCTTTGAAAAAAATCTAGTCATTCAATAGTCAATTCTTTACACAAGGCAACTGTTCAAAAATAGTATTTGGCATCATCTATTGCTCTTGTTCGTACCTAGGGCAATGCTCAAATTTCATGTGCTATGTTTCCTGGAGCTTTATTCTTCACGAAATATCCCCATTACTCTAATTGCTGAGATAGCAGTATTTGTTTAAATAATTTTTTAGCTGTGTCCAGAAAGTCAAAGCAAAACAAGGACTTGGAAGGTAATCTACTATGATCAAATTAGTAGCTATATTTTTGTTTTCAAAAGAAACTTTCTAGAGTGGATTTATTCCCAAGAAAAAAATTTAAATTTCCCAGAATAGTAGTAAACGGTTTGTGTACTTTGTTTATAAAACTCTAGTCTAAAGACTTTCTAAAAACCCTTAGTGAATAGTGACTTTGTGTCTACATGGAAAACATCATTAGCAGCTATAGCTGGCTACACACAAACCACAGATAATTTTACACACATGGCTATTTAAAGCTTGGAAACAATAGAAACAAATGAACACATTTCATAGTTTCTAACCTGAAAAAAAAATGCCTTAGATTTTGGCTGTGTGTATTTAAATAAAAAGCTAAAACCTTATAAACATGCTAATGAAACTAAAACCAAAAAGTTCTCATCATAAAATTCTACCAATTTAGACTATTTGTGAATGTATTTTTTCTTGGTTTTAATCAATACACATGTACTATTCAATTTTCCATTCAATTTTCAGTTGTCATACTACATAGACTTTTCTATCTTGACAGTTATATAATTGTCAGGTTTAATACCCATAAATATTCTATCCTACGGATACACCACTGTCTCCTTCAAAGTTATCAAGTTATTGGGAATTTGACCTTTTATTTACTGAATAAATTATGAAAATATCTCTGTATAAATTTTTTTCCTTTTCAATTATTTTCTTGGACTAGATTCCTAAACAGGAGATTATGAGGTCACAAAATAAAATAGAATGATGGTTCTTATTACCAAATTAATATTGAAGAATTACTAATATGTTTCAATGCCAGTTGCCATATGAATATTAACTGTTCTTAAGGTTTTACTAGTACTGATATAGTAATTTCAATTTAATTTCCCAATTTAATACTGATGAGGTATTAATTCTCAGTTTTTATTTACATTGAAAATTACTAGTTAGGTTAAACCTGTTTCAAACTGTATTAGTTATGCTTTCTTTTGTGTTTACTGTTCATGGACCATGTGTGTCTATTTAGAACTGGATATCACTTTCATGTATTTGTGTTCATTTCCTTTATATTTTAAAAAGGAAGTTCCCACAGACATATTTGTGGCAGATTTCCCCTTGATCCTTTGTTTTTATACATAGGATATATTTGTATGCTCAAACTCCTCAGACTATTCACAGTTGAATAGGTTTTCCATTTTCTTTTATAGTTTTTATATTTCTAAAAATTACCTTTTAATCACATCTGAAGTATGTGGAGCCAGCTTCCTATAGAACAGCTGCCCAGTTTTTCAACAGCGTTTGTTAAGTACTGGCCATTCATCCATTTTTATTGTATCATATTTTTTATTAAGCTCTTCTATGTGTTTAAAGGTACTTCTGGTAAATTCCATTCTGTGTCATTAGCCTGTATTTATCTGTTTTAACTCCGCACAATTCGGTACAAGTGCCTCAATGATGTCTTACATTCTGGCAGTAAAAGTCACCTAATCATTTCCCTAATCTTTATAAAGTGAAAAAGGAAATTGATAGAGAAGAAATATCAAATGTTTCTTAGTATTACATGAAGAAAATGTATGCTTATAGTACCTTTTCTATCAGCTCTTTTGCTACATCATTTGTTTGTGTCTCATAAGTTAGAGGACATTCCTCAATCACAAGCCTTGGGCGTTTTTGTCCACTGGGTGCTGCTGGATGCTTGGGGCTGTAACAGAGAGAATATGTTCATGGTTGGAGGCCATGTGTTTTCACATTTATGTGAAAACCAGTGAACAACTCACAAAAAAGGCTAAGGCAGACTTTTTTTGGTTATTTCTATGTAGAAAGATACCAAAAACACACCGTAACTTCTATTAAATTTCCTTAATTTAAACATCTGTTAACTTAATTTCTAATTTAAAATGGGAGACAAGCTTCATGTCTGTTGTTGTAATTGAAGTTAGTAGAAATGTTTTTTCATTGTTGTTATAGAAAAGCACAACTAAAAATCTATATAAAGACATAAATATTGTCCTGCTTTTTTCTTTTTCTTTTTTTCTGATCTTTATTCCTTGCTCATTCTTAGCCTTGTCAGGATGCTGCTAAGTCTATTTGAAGTAATACCTAAAGTGGGAAAAATGTGGTTAATACTGTGTAAAAATGTTCATTTAGTTATGCTTGAATGAATGACTATCTGATGAGGCTCTGTATCCTAGTGAGAGTTGAAGCCTGCACAGATTCTCTCATATGTATACATAGGTAGGAACTGCTCAGTGGCAGACCATATGCCTTAAAAACACCTAGAACTTTTAAAAGTCCTTTCTTTTTCTCAATTTTCCTATTTTCTCTTTTTCCCTCTTAGTTCATATTTCATTTTTTGCTTAGCCCCTTCATAGTAAAGTGATTGTTGTTGGTCCAATCATTAAAAAGAGAAAGCTCAGTTTTTTTTTTAAGACTTATTTACTTATTTGAAAGACAAGAGTTACAGAAAGGCAGAGGCAGAAAGAGAGAGAGAGATCCAGCTGCAATGGCTGGAGCTGGGCAATCTGAAGCCAGTAGCCAGGAGCTTTTTCCAGGTCTCCCATGTGGGTGCAAGGGCCCAACAACTCGGGACTCAAACTGGCACCCACATGGGATGCCCGCATTGCAGGCATCGGCTCTACCCACTATGCTACAGAGCCAGCCGGAAGAAAGCTCAGTTTTTAACCCTAGTTTTTGAGATGTTTTTAATATAGATGAAGATTTATGTAAAAAAAAATTGATGTGTTGGGGCTAGCATTGTTGCATAGTGGGTAAAGCCACCATCACATATAGGTACCGGTTCAAGTCCTGGCTGCTCCATTTCTGATTCAGCTCCTTGCTCATGGCCTGGGAAAAGTGCTTGGGCCCCTACCATCCACATGGGAGACCTGCATGGAGCTCCTAGCTCCTGGTTTTGGCCTGGCCCAGTGCTGGGTGATGCAGTTATCCAGGGGAGTGAACCAGCAGATGGAAGATCTCTCTCTTTGTCTCTCCTTCTCTCTCTGTAACTCTGACTTTCAAACATAAATAAATAAATCTTAAAAAAGAAAAATCCCAAAGGGCTGGCGCTGTGGTGTAGTGGGAAAGCTGTCTGCCTGCAGTGCCGGCATCCCACGTGGGCGCCAGTCCAAGACCTGGCTGCTCCACTTCTGATCCAGCTCTTGCTATGGTCTGGGAAAGCAGTAGAAGATGGCTCAAGTCCTTGGGCCTCTGCACCCATGTGGGAGACCCAGAAGAAGCTCCTGGCTCTTGGCTTCTGATGAGCATAATTCCAGCTGTTGGGATCAACTGGGGAGTGAACCAGTGGATGGAAGACGTCTTTCTCTCTCTGCCTCTCCTTCTCTCTTTGTGTAACTCTGACTTTTGGATAAATAAATAAATCTTTTAAAAAAACAAAACAAAACAAACAACTCAGTGAAAGCAGCCTTCCCAGGTCCGGTCCCCTGCGTTAGCCTAAGGACAGCACTTGCAGCTCACTGTACTTTCTCTCCTGCTGGAAGCTCCTGGCAGGAGCTTCCAGGAGGCTTGAATTGAATTGTTTTGTTGTTCACTGACATTCTCAAACCCCCACCCCCCACCCCAATCTCTGTCTCCCAGGAGCTAAAGTCAATCAGGAGTTTTAAGGAAGCAGTATAAATTTCCTTGCTTCAATCCAGGTTCAACCACTGGAAAATATGCCTTAAACCAAAATACCCAGTTATCATTTATTCTCCTTTATTTGGCTTAATGTATCTTAAGGGGAAGAGTTTGGCCTAGCGGTTAAGACACCCCTTGGGATGCCCACATCCCATATGGACTTGCCTGAATTTAAGTGTCTGTTATACTCCCTATTCATGCTTCCAGCAAATGTGCATCCAGGAAGGCAGTAGGGGATGGCTCAGGCACTTGGGTCCCTGCCATCCATCTGGGCGACCTGGATTGAGTTCTTGGCCCCACGCTCCTTCCTGGTCTGACCCTGGCCACTGCAGGCCTTTGGGAGCCAGTGGATGGGAGAGTTCTCTCTCTTTGTCTTAAAAATAAAAAAGTAAAAATTCAAGAAAAAAAGTTTATTTTAGACAGATAAAAATTGTCATTCTTTTTAAAAAGTTTTTATTTATTTATGTGTTTATTTGAAAGGCAGAGTGAGAGGGAAGGAGATATCTTTTACCTGCTGATTTACTCCCCAGTTGTCCACAACAGTCAGGACTGGGCCAGGCTGAAACCAGAAGCCTAGAACTCCGTCCTGGTCTCCCAGTGAGTGAAGGGACCCAGGTACTTGGGTCATCATCTGCTGCCTTCCTGGGTGCATTAGTAGCAAGCCGGATTGGGAGCTGAGTAACTGAGACTTGAGTTGGCACTCCCACACGGGATGTGGCCATCCCAAGGGGTGGCTTCACTCACTGTGCCAAACGTCAGCCCTCAAGCTTCATTCTTAACCGCCTCTGAACATGACTGATTTCTTGAGCACCACGCTTACCTTAATTTTAAGCGCAATAGCACCACCCTATACAGGTAATTTGCTGGGAGGTGTTTTCGCTGCCCCACAGGTTGTATGACAGGATGAATAGCCCCAACAACATATCCCTTAAGATAATAGTCATCCACTTTTGCTACTATATCCAGAATTGAATTTATCTTGATGACTTCTGGGTTTGATGAAGCTGAAATATCAAAAGCAAAGAGAAATTGGAACACTGTTAGGATTGAATTATACATTACTTCTTTGTATGACAATAGTAATGAGTAGGAAAAACAACCATATGACTTAACCGCAAATAAGTTACATTAGCATGTATTCCATATCTTCTAAGCTCATTTCTGAAAAAAGAAAAACTGACCATAAGAACTGGTAGATAAATGATATTGCCAATATGTTTTAAAGCAGAAATACAATTTCTTATATGTTTTTCAATTAAGACAGCTTCATTTTTAAATTAAAATGTATTTATTTATTTGAAAGAGAGAGAGAGAGAGAGAGAGAGAGAGAGAGTCCCTATTTGTTGGTTCTCTCCTCAAATGCCCACAACAGTCAGTGATGGACTGGACAGAAGCTGGGAGCCAGGAACTTAATCCAGATCTCCCACGAGTGGCAGGAACCCAGTTACCTGAGCATCACTGTTGCTTCTCACAGTCTGCACAAGCAGGAGGCTGGAGCCAGAAACAGGAGCTGGGAATCAAACCCAGCTGCTTCGATATGGGATGCTGGCATCTTAATCAGTCTACCCCAAGGAAGCTTTTAGACAGATACCCGTCTACCCCAAGGAAGCTTTGTTTTAGAATTTCATTTGAAGACTATATTTCCAATAGTAGATTTTAAAGAGATAAAGAGAAACAATAATTGAAGATTCAATTGTTTTTATGATTCTAAAGATGAAATGTACAATTTTTAAAGAAATAAAATTCATGCAAATCTGAAAATTAAAAATGGAAAAAATGGTATGTGTGGTGCAGCAATTGTTAAGTGCTTTCTCATTTCTAATTAATATTCAAAAGCATTGTTTTAAGTTTCTCTGGGAAGCTGAAAATAAAATTTCTTTTTTTTTTTTTTTTTGACAGGCAGAGTAAGAGAGAGAGAGAGAGAGAGAGAGAGAGAAAGCTCTTCCTTCCATTGGTTCACCCCCAAATGGCTGTTATGGCTGGCATGCTGCGCCGATCTGAAGCCAGGAGCCAGGTGCTTCTCCTGGTCTCCCATGTGGGTGCAGGGCCCAAGCACTTGGGCCATCCTCCACTGCCTTCCCAGGCCACAGCAGAGAGCTGGACTGGAAGAGGAGCAACCAGGACAGAATCCGGCGCCCTAATCGGGACTAGAACCCAGAGCACCGGTGCCGCAGGCGGAGGATTAGCCTAGTGAGCCATGGCGCCGGTCTGAAAATAAAATTTCTTACGGTACTTTATAAATGTTAGAGTAAATGAATTGAAAAAGTAAAGGTATCTAGAAGTGCTTTTTCATAAGCAAAAATTATAAATGCAGAGGAAATTTAAATGCAAAATTGATATGCAATTGAACATCCCTTGAAGGAGGGTAAATCTGTAGAAACTACAGAATAGTACCATCTGCACAGACTTTAACATATTAAAGGAAAAGAAGTGGCATTGTGCCACAGTGGGTTAAGACACCACCTGTGATACTGGCAGCCCATATGGGTGCTGGTTCCAGTCTTGGCCACTCCACTTCTAATCTAGCTCCCTAATAATGCACCTGGGAAAGCAGTGAAAGAAATCCCAAGTGCTTGGGCCCCTGCCACTCATGTGGGAAACCCGGATGGAATTCTAGGCTCCTGGCTTTGGCCCGGCCCGGTCCTGGCCAACTGTGGACTGAACTTGTAGTCTCTGTGTCTCTCCTTCTCTCACTCTGTAACTCTTTCAAATAAATAAAAATTTATAAAGTGAAGTATGTTATTTGGAAAAATGTTCCTTTTTTTTTGTTCTTAATACAACAGTATTAAATTAAATAAGAACTTCATTTTCACTTTGTGAAAAAAATCAAGAATTAAGATCTAAAAAACATGTCTGCAATTTGGTTATCTCCTGAGTAACAAAACATATGAAATTAATTCCAGGTATGGGCTAAATTGGCTCTTGCCCTCCGTCAATGTGGTCAGTGGTGGCCAGCAAAGAAAGCTGCTGATTGCCTGAACTCAGGAAGGAGGTTAGGAAGCAGATGAGTCGAAGGGTCAGAGGAAATCCCCACCTTCCCTTACATTAACATCCACACGATGGAACAAAATTCACCATCAGTGGGTATGCATGCCAACTTCTCAAACTAAATTAGAACACTCAACAGAAAAGTTATACAAACCAGGATGAATCCATTTCCTCCAATTTTCCTCCTTTTTTGGATTTAAACTAATATTCCATTTACAATATATTTTCTTCATCGCTGTGAACAGGAATGAAAACAAAGGGAATGATCCTGGACTTTGAAGAAACAGCTGGACTTCCTTGTAAACAGCCTGGCCCTGCCTGGTTGTGTGTGGCAACTCTGTGATTCATTTGGTTTTGCTCTTTGTAGTGTTTTGACTACCAACCCTGTTTTCTGAACAAAGGAACTGAAAAACTGTAAAATAAAATGGAACAGATACTCCAGACAATGGAATTAAAGATAAACTAAATTTATTTTTTAAATTATAGACCAATCCTACAAAATTTTAAAGAAACTTACACCTTTTAATGGATTAATTGCAGGCAGCAGAAAGTGGAAATACTTTAGCATGATACAAAAGAATCTTGCCAGTTCGGTCTCTGCTTACTGATTCAGACCTCACTCTTGTCATTCACTCTTGTACGTCCTGCTTTGGCACCCCGGAACCACATGGAGTTCCTGACCCCAGCTCTCTGTTGTGTGCCACCAGGATTTCTTTTTCCTTTTCTGCTCCTCCAGCCTGGTTAACCATTTCTTCTGTACTCCAAGTACATCTACTAATGCTATTACCAGAGAGTCTTATAGTTACTTCTTTAAATGTGTGTATTGGCTATTTGAGAATTCCTTAAGGGAAAGGAATCTGCCTTTTTCATATCTGTTTATACCCAGCATGTTCCTTACGTCATTAGGTTAAATTGGAAATACTGTTTATAAGGGGAATTAAGAGAGAAAATTATATCATACAAGAGGGAAAGCAATCAATATTAACTAATGAAAATAAAAAAGTTAGGTTAGTAAATTCAGAAACGATTATGCAGGCTCTCCAAGTCTCACTGGAGAGAGACAGAACAGGGAAAAAACACAGGTGGTGCTGAGGGATTGTTTTTACTCTTTTGATCATAAAAGTGAGGATGATCAAGAACATAGTAAGAATCAGAGTTAAAGGTCATATTCACTCCAGAAGGATCTAGCATAAGGCCCACATCATGTTCCTTATGTTAATATTGCAATGAGAAGAATCACATTGCAAATAAAGTAAAAAGTAATGAGGAGTGGAGCTATATAAGATTTAATTAATGCCATCTTGGAGTGAAATCTGGAGAGAATTTTGGGAGAGGACTGTACCACAAAGAATGATTTAATGAAGAGGAAGAGTGTGGCTTTTATTCAAAAGGGTTCCCTGGAACTTATGGGCTTGGGAGAAGTTCTGGACACTGCTGATCTTGTTTTCCAGTCTATCTTGGTTGGAGATACTTTTAGATTGTTTGTTGCTTCATTTGAGTCTTCTTTGGTATCACCACTTAGAGGCAAATGCCAGAAATCAAGAACTCAATATTGAGGGAAATCCATTTTCCTGGAGCCTTGGGTAAGAGTTCAGGGCAATGTAGATAGCTCAAAGCTCTGCTCATTCTATGTGATCTTGCTATCATGCAAGAGAGTATGGTAGTGCAGGAGACAACACATAAAAGGCATCTTCAGAGGGGGCTGGCATCTGGCCCAGTGGTTAAGACACTGGGTACTGGCCAGCGCCGTGGCTCACTAGGCTAATCCTCCGCCTGCGGCGCCGGTACCCGGGGTTCTAGTCCTGGTTGGGGCGCCGGATTCTGTCCTGGTTGCTCCTCTTCCAGTCCGGCTCTCTACTGTGGCCCGAGAAGGCAGTGGAGGATGGCCCAAGTGCTTGGGCCCTGCACCCGCATGGGAGACCAGGAGAAGCCCCTGGCTCCTGGCTTCGGATCAGCACAGTGCACCGGCTGCAGTGGCCATTTGAGGGGTGAACCAATGGAAGGAAGACCTTTCCCTCTGTCTCTCTCTCTCAATCTAGCTCACTTGTGCCTTGGACCTGGACCACCCCCGGCTTGTTGAAGGAAAAAAAAAAAGACACTGGGTACCATACCAGAGTCCTTGAGTTTGATACCTGGCCCCATGCAAGATTTCAGCTAGCTAGCTAGCTAGCTTTCTTTCTTTCTTTCTTTCTTTTTTTTTTTTTTTTTAAATACAGGCAGAGTGGACAGTGAGAGAGAGAGAGACAGAGAGAAAGGTCTTCCTTTTGCCAATGGTTCACTCTCCAATGGCCACCGCCGGCTGGCGTGCTGCGGCCAGCGCACCGCGCTGATCCGAAGGCAGGAGCCAGGTGCTTCTCCTGGTCTCCCATGGGGTGCAGGGCCCAAGCATTTGGGCCATCCTCCATTGCACTCCTGGGCCATAGCAGAGAGCTGGCCTGGAAGAGGGGGCAACCGGGACAGAATCCGGTGCCCCGACCGGGACTAGAACCTGGTGTGCCGGCGCCGCTAGGCGGAGGATTAGCCTAGTGAGCCGCAGCGCCGACCAGATTCCAGCTTCATGCAGCAGGTGATGGAGCAAATAGATGACTCCCTGCCATCCACATGGGAGACCAGGATTGAGTTCCTTGCTCTTGTCTTTGGCCTGGCCCAACCTTGGCCATTGTAAGTGTTTGGTGAGTGAACTAGCAGATGGGTATTCTCTTTCTCTTTCATTCTGCCTCTCAAATAAAAAAAAATTTAAAAAGGTACTTTATACATTCAAAGAGGCATTTTTTTAAGATTTATTTGAAAGTCAGAGTTGAGAGAGAGAAAGAAAGGAGATGTGCACGCACGTGCGCACACACACACTCTCTCACACACACACACACACACACAGATCTTCCTTCCTCTGATTCATTCCTCAAATGGCCACAATAGCCAGGACTAGGTCAGGTTGAAGCCAAGAGCCAGGAGTTTCCTCTGGGTCTCCCACATGGGGGCAGGGACCCAAGCACTTGGGCCACCCTCCTCTGCTTTCCCAGCTGCATTATCAGGGAGCTGGATTGGAAGTGGAGCAGCTGGGACTCAAAACGGTGCCCATCTGGGATGCCAGTGCTGCAGGTAGATGCTTACCCTGCTACACCACAACACTGGCCCTGAAGATATTTTTTTAAAGTACAATGGCATATTGCAATTTTTATTAATTTAAAAAGGCATGTGCCTTCTCAAAAATGGTGCAAGAAAAATAAAGAACTTTATTATGTTCCCAGTTTCATTTGATTATCTAGCAAGGTAGGTTGCAAAACAAAAATTTTAAAATTGGTGAAGGTGTAGGAAATTTTAAAGCATTATTTAAAAATGTTTACTTGTCAAAAATGAAACTCAAAAGTATGCATTTTGTGGGTGATAACATAAAGAATATGAATGTAGGTGGGTATTTAATTTTTTGAAAGCATGCCTTTGTAAATTACAAAATTCAATCCAACAATAAGGGATGTGCCTTGCATTGGAAATCCTCCTGGCATTTTAATAACTGTAGGCCAGGTGGTGATTGTGAGGTGGTTTCATTATGTGTGTGAAATTTGTTGTTTTTCCATGTTGTACAACTGGTCAGCTTGGGTATTGAAGTTTCAGTCAACAAACTGTTAAAGGAGTTTTTAAGTGGAGATTATGAGTCCTGGCTGTTGCCTGAGAATTTTCCATTGGTAATGTCTGGCAAGGAGAAGAAAGCCCTACTCTCAAACTTGGCAGGATGGGCGTCAGTTACTTGGAAGAAAATCTCAGCACTCTTTTAAGAAATGCAGCATCACCCGCACTCCTGAGAACTCTGGAGAATAGAATGTGAGAAACGGGAAACGAGGGCTCTGAGAATGCAAGCTGTTCCAGTCAGGTTCTGAGTGCTAAGAAGTTTTAGGAGCATCTTTATTTCACTTGATTTTCTTTCTTTCTTTCTTTCTTTCTTTTTTTTTTTTTTTTGACAGGCAGAGTTAGACAGTGAGAGAGAGAGACAGAGAGAAAGGTCTTCCTTTTTCCGTTGGTTCACCTCCCAAGTGGCCACTATGGCTGGCGCGCTGCGCCAATCCGAAGCCAGGAGCCAGGCGTTTCTTCCTGGTCTACCATATAGGTGCGGGGCCCAAGGACCTGGGCCATCCTCCACTGCACTCCCGGGCCATAGTAGAGAGCTGGACTGGAAGAGGGGCAACCGGGACAGAATCCAGCGCCCCGAATGGGACTAGAACCTGGGGTGCTGGCGCCATAGGTGGAGGATTAGCCTAGTGGGCCGTGGCGCCGGCCTCACTTGGTTTTCTTTTAAAAATGTATTGTTAAAGAGATACAAAGAAAAATTATGTCCAAAAATGTCTGAAAAGGCTTTCTGCTGTAGGTGAAAAATCATATTACTAAGTGATAAGAAAGCAGAGTTAATTTTGTACATTTTTTTCTTTCCTTTAGCACCTAAAGTAATGGGTGTGCTTTACAATCAATAGCATCTTATAATAAATGAAAAATGGTAAATTATATAGCAAAGAAGTGGTTGCATATATGTTGTCCAAGAGGACAAGGGTTTGACAAGGACTTGGTCTAGTGAGACAAAAGTCCTAACGGTCTGGGGCTGGCGCTGTGGCACAGTGCGTTAAGCTGCTGCTTGCAGAGCTGGCCTCCCATGTGGGTGCCATTTTGAGTCCTGGCTTCTCCACTTCTGATCCAGCTCCCTTCTGATGTGACTGGGAAAGCAGTAGAAGCACTTGGGCCCTAGTACCTGTGTGGGTGACTCAGATGAAGCTGCTAGTTCCTGGTCCTGGCTTTGGCCTGGCCCAGCCCTGGCTGTTCTAGCCATTGGGGGGGTGGGGTGGGGTGGAGAGTGAGCCAGCAGATTAAAGATCTCTCTCTCTCTCTTTCAAATAAAAATAATTTAAAAAAAAAATCCCAAAAATTTAACAACAAAAAGATAATCCTAACAGGTTTAAATTCTAAGTTCTACAAAGCACAGAGTAAGGAAAAATCAGATATAATATATGTTCATTTAGGAGGAGGGGGAACCCATGGGGACTTCTGCTGACCAGCGACTAACGATAAGCTAAGAGTGTGATCGTGCGTCATCTGGAAATTACTGCTCCCACATGAAAGAGGCTCACCGAATTCCGGGCCAAGAGACCTTCACTGGTATATTCTCAGCTGAATGCTTTTTCTTTAGTACTCATCACTATCTACTACTAATTAAAGTGTATTCACCGAATCACCTTATTTAATATCTACCTC